TATGGGTATAAAAGACTTGACTGCAAGATTAACAGTGCATCAATCTTCACAAGAAGCTTACACCCTTTAGTGGCGCTAAGCTATGAAGACCAATGCAGACAAGTGTAAAAAAAAAAAAAAAAAATTAATTTTTGATTAAATTGATTCCAGTGTGATCCATACAGGGAGGCATAAACATTTAATTTTGTAAATAGAGAGCACTGGTGAAAGCATTGGTGCGCTGTACTGGTAGATAACATGAGTACAGGTGTATGAATCAGATTCAGAAGAGATAGAGTTGTTGCATCTCTAGAGGATAACCGCAACATGACTGACAGCTCCAGAAAATTGACTGAGTGGATCTTTCTACATTTTTTAACATAAATCTATGTTATTTCAACATCATATTACCATACAAAAACAGCCCTGGAGAGTGTGTATTACATACTGTATTTTCCTGTACTCACTCAGCAGTATGATGGCACACAGGAGGATGGCGATGAGAGCTCCAGTGCTGAGACCAGGAGAGCTGCTCAGAGCCTCAGCGTTGCACAGCTCCATGTTGCCTTCACGGTCACAGGTGCACACCCTCACAGTGAGAGTGCCGGTGCTGCTCTGCATGGGATAGTCGCCGTCGGTAATCACCACGGGAACCAGGTAGACGCTCTGGTGAAGGAGGCTGTAGCTGGCTCGACGTGTCAGGATGCCAGCAGTGTTATCTGAGAAGGAGAAAGTATCATTGTAGCACGCATGCAGTGCACAGTGTGTCTGACACTTTGTCAAACAGCAGCGTGTGAATAAAAAACACTTTATTACCAGGTTGGAAAGAAAAATGTGGGTTGTACAAGTCAGAAGTCATTTGTTGTATCTCACTAAGGAGACAAAGCATGGGGACTAATCTGTTCTACATCTTCAGGCAAAGCAACTGTGAGGCAAGGCTGGGTGACACAAAATCTATCTATACTTTTCTCAGTACAAATAGTTTTACAATATCAAAACTAAAAACTGCTTGACAACAGGCAACCACTACCAATCACACTGCAGGAATAAAAAGTTATTTCTTAATAATGATGAGTAAAAGGGTCACCTTCAAATCTCACATTAAATACTTTCAAATCTTGTTTCAAATTACAACCCCAATCAAGAGTTAAGTCTGTAGTTATGGTTCTATGAATACTGGGTTACTACCAGAGACCATATGTAATACCTTGCCACTGACAGTTGTGATTGGGAAGAATGAAGTAGTCTCCACACCCTCATTATTTGATTTCTCTTTTTACATGGTGTGATGGAGGGATGTGACCCACATTGGACTAAACAGGATTTTCTTCCTTACTTTCAATTAGAAAAAAGGCCATTGCAATGGGCTCTACAGAATGACTATAAATATAATTTCTTGATTTAAAAAAAAAAAGTCTATTTCATTACTTTAGGAACAAACAGCCCACACGTAAATGTGGAGTGTCTGTCAGATAGACAGCGCAATTTAAGATGATCAACGTAATTGAACCAGATTATGAGCTTTATGGCTACAAACATATGAAGTTATGATAGTAATACTGACAAGATTTTAGTTATTTATTCAAAAAATATTGTGTTGTAGCTCTTAGTCATTTATTCACCCTGAATCTTCTACGAGAGAATCATAAGATTAAAGGAGTAATTCAACGTTTAGGAAATACATTTGTTCACTTTTTTGCAGAGACCTAGATGAGACGATTGATGCCGCTCTTGTGCCTGTCTACTGAACATGAAACTACAGCCAACAGCCCTCCAGCTTAGCTCCGAATAAAGACTGGCTTTGTCAAAATGTAACCGGCTGTTTCTAAAGGCCCTGACACACCAAGCCAACAGTCAGCCATTGATCATTGTCGGACCACCTCGTCTTTGAGGTGTGTCCCGCACTGTTAGTTTTCAGTCGATTCAGCTTGTGAAATTGGCGTTGAGACAGCGGAGCTAATCACTGACGAAATCACTTGCTTGGTTAGTGACTTCCAGTGTCAGACAGCGTTGAAAAAGGTCTGTTCTTTTTTCCTAAACCTAACCATGTGTCCATGTTGACTAAATGTAACCATGTGCATTTGTTGTTGTTACAGAAAAAAAACAAATGTCAATTTGCAGTGTTGTACTGACTTAGTGCACTTATTTTGAAAGAGACTGTATGCAAACTGTTCATTTTCTGTGAGAACAGAAGAGAGAAAACAGCTTGTTAACGTCAGCTTACCTTGGCGTCAGCTAATGGGGATCCTATTTTAATAAAGAGTAAACAATAAACATGGCATTCAAGATGGCAAGATGGCGCTATAGGAAGCGGCAGCCTCTCCAGTTGCTCTACAGCACCAAGTTGTTTATTCCTTTTTTTCCCCTTTATATGCCATGGATATTTCTAACTTTAAAACACTACCGGGAGCCAGTCATCTTGTTTATTCAAGAGAGGAATTACTGGGCTTAAAGACAACAGCACAAGACGGAATACGACACCATATACCGGCAGAACTGAGGAGGAGATACAGAGGCTGCAAGACAGGCGCTAAGCTAAAGGCTAAGCTAGCGGACAACCGGAGGCGTTTTAAACCATTGATCCTCACTATAATAATGGGGAATGTTAGCTCGCTGCCAAACAAGTTCGACGAGCTATCTGCACTGAACAACCAGCGGATTTACCGAGAGAGCAACTTGTACATCTTCACAGAGACGTGGCTAACCCACTGCAGTGAGAGCCGACAGAGATGAAAACGCTTGTGGAAAACTCAGAAGTGGAGGGCTCATCATATATATTAACAACTGCTGGTGTAGCCCAGGACATGTCACTGTGAAAAAGGTCTTATGTTGTGGATTTGGAACTGCTAGCTATTAGCCTACGGCCATATTACTTGCCAAGGGAGCTCAGTCACATGATCGTACTCTGTGTTTACATCCCTCCAAGCACCGATGCAGCCACTGCCTGTGAGAAGATCCACACAGTGACAGCAAGGCTGCAGACACAGCACCCTGAGGTGTTCATTATCATCTCTGGGGATTACAATCATGCGACCGTTGACTCCACTTTGGCTGCCTTCCACCAGGCTGTGGATTGTCCCACGAGGAACAACAAGACAATTGATCTACTGTATACCAATGTGAGGGATGCATACAGAGCCTCCCCCCACTTGGGAAGTCTGATCATAACCTGGTCCACCTACAGCCACAGTACACTCCCTTGGTACAAAGGCAGTCTACTACAACACGCTCTATCAGGAAGTGGTCGCCTGAAGTGGAGGACGCCCTGAGAGACTGCTTTGAAGCCACGGACTGGGATGTGCTGCTGAAATCACTTGGTGAGGACATAGAGGGGCAGACACACTGTCTGATGGATTATTTAAATTTCTGTTTGGACGTGGTCACCCCTGCTAAGACTGTACGCTGTTACTCGAACAATAAACCCTGGGTGACTCAAGAGGTCAAAGCTGTCCTTAACAGGAAGAAGGTGGCTTTCAGGAGCAAGGACAGGGCGGCAATAAAATCAGCACAGCGGGAGGTGAAAAAATGTCTGAAGGAGGCAAAGGACATCTACAGGAGGAGGGTGGAAAAGAAGCTGAGTGAGAGTCGCATGAGGGAGATCTGGAATGGTATTAGTACCATCACAGGCCACAGGACAAAGTCAAGTGAAGTGGCACAGTGAGGGTCCTTTTTCTGGACTTCTCAAGTGCCTTTAACACCATCCAGCGCCTTGTGCTCCAGGACAAACTGATGAGGATGCAAGTGGACCCCTGCCTGGTGTCCTGGATCTCTGACTACCTAACTGATAGACCACAGTATGTCAGGCTGAAGGACATCACGTCTGATACTGTGGTCAGCATCACAGGAGCACCTCAGGGGACAGTGCTGGCCCCTCTTCTCTTCACCCTGTGAATGACTTCTGCTACAGCTCTGAGTTGTGTCACATGCAGAAGTTCGCCGATGACACAGCCATCATGGAGTGTATTAGGGATAATAGAGAGGATTAGAGAGTACAGGAGTCTGGTAAATGACTTTGTTGCCTGGAGTCAAAAGAACCATCTGCAGCTCAACACCTCAAAGACTAAAGAGCTGGTCATAGACTAGTCCAGGCCATGTCCATGTCCAGTGTTGATCAGGGGTGAGGAGTTAGAGGTCGTAGGCAACTACAAGTACCTCGGGCTGTGGCTGGACAACAAGCTGGACTGGACATGCAACACAGACCACCTGTACAAGAGGGGCTAGAGTAGACAGTATTTCCTGAGGAGGCTGCGATCATTTAACATCTGCAGGAAACTCCTGTGGATGTTCTACCAGTCTGTGGTCGCCAGTGTCCTCTTTTATGCTGTGGTGTGCTGGGGTGGCAGCACATCCAAGAAGAACTCCGCCATGCTGGACAAGCTGATCAGGCAGGCTGGCTCTGTGGTTGACGTGAAGATGGACTCTCTGGTGACAGTTTTTAGTGTAATGTACAGATTTACTGAAGACATATACTGTACCTTTTAGTTGACTTTTAAAAGATACGTGTTGAAGCAATGTACTCTGTGCACTGACAAATCACACACTGGTTTATTATTTCATGTATTCCTATGACACACACACTCACTGAGCATTTAAGCATTGTGGTGGAGAAGTACCTAGGCATCATTTCTAAAAATAGCATGAGGATGGGCTCAGAAACACTGGTGGAAAGTTAGGGGAATTACAGCTTGTCCTGAGAATGACCCTAGTAAGAGGAGGCGGTCTTAGATTGTCTAGGAAAAACATTACGAGTACGAGTAAAGAGGTGGGGTTTAGGATGAAAGGAGAAAAAGTGAAGGCTCAGCAGAAAAATGACACCGTAATGGTGGTAGGATGAAAGGAAAAAAAGTGTAAACTCAGCAGAAGTGGGATATCGTTACGATCAGAGCCAAGTGGGAAGGATTAAGAAAGAGATGACTCAGCAGAAAATCTCAACAATAAATACGAGTGCGCAAACAAAGAAATTTCAGTCTTGCTCCGGAGCTTGACTCATTGAGTTGTGATGTGTTTGTTGTCTGCGAGCACATTAAACTCAGTTGCATCTGATTCTACGTGTCTCCAGTGATTTTTTTGACCTCTGAGTATTTGAGTTTTTGATATCTAATGGAAGACAAAGAAAGTCCGTTTGAGAAGAAAAGAGCGAGGTCGTGAGCTTTCTGGCACGGCTCGGGACCTTGACTTTTTTGCTTCAACAAGTTGCAGAGAAGAGAACCCTGAACAAACTACTGGCTATTATGGATGATGCCAGTCACCCTCTGCACACTGTCATCAACACACAGAGAAACCTATTCAGCAATAGGCTGCTTCTCCCCAGGAGCAAAACTAACAGACTCAAAGACTCCTTCGTCCCTCGAGCCATCAAACTGTACAACTCTGCACTTGGTGGGAGGGGGAGGGGTAGCAGGAGGAGAGGGGATGGGGAAGATGGGGAAGATATTACCTTTTTATTATTATATTTATATTATATTCTTATACTTGAACTTGCTTTTTATATTTGAATCTGTGTGCTTTTACTGTACTAACGGTGCTGTGCCGCTGCTGGAACCTCAATTTCCCTGAGGTAACCCTCCCAAGGGATTAATAAAGTACTATCTTATCTTAAGAATGTCAACAACCAATGCACGCAGGGTACCTTGCACGTCATATCTTGACATTAAAAGTCCATGACCAATCATCGATATGTGATGAGGCTGAAGTGAGAATGTGTTGTACCACTCTGACACAAGGGACGTGAGGCGTGTCAGCTTTTGTCACTGTTAGTTCTTTAATGTTGGTTTGGTGTGTCAGGGTCGTTAGTCAGTTAACTTAACGGGTGACAACAAGACTCCAGGAAGCCACCTGCACAAACAAGCCCCTGTTCCATGTCAATTATATCATTCATTTTAGGCACTTATATCAAAAGGCAGTAATCAGTGAGCATGTATCTGGTCATGTGTTGCCTACCTCCATTGTCTCGGACAGTGAAGTTGCTGCGGTGGGTCCCCTCAGGAGCCAGGCTGAAGAAAAACTTGTGTCCCGTTGATGGCTCATCAGCATCGATGGCACTCACTGTCTGGATCCGCTGTCAGAGACACCAACAGCCATTAACATTAACATACCAGTATAGATAAGTGAACTGAGAGCAGTCAATAGCCCCTTTTACACTGCCAGATTTTCCACGAATGTTGGGCCGATTTACCGGCCAGGTGTGAGCGTTTATACACAGAGGCGAAAAGGCGAGTTGATCCGAGGCGCCCAATTTTCCGCCTCGTAGGGTTGTCATATTGGCGGAACCCTTTCAGTTTTAACAGACTGAGGCGGTCTTCCGCAACGGGAGGGGCTGTTGATGATGCCGCACGTGCAAGCCACTCGCAGTGGATAAACAGGAAATAGCTGATAGCAGGGATTAGCAAGCAGCTAGTAGCAAGAGGGAAACACATACCTAACAGACACGTAAAGATGAGCGACTGAGGAGACAAGGAATGGTGCGCCCTCCTTGCCCTCGCAAACGAAGAGGCCATTAACCATCAGATGACGGGGACAGTAAAGAACGGGTTGATTTGCGCGAGACTCGCAGCCTGACTAGCGCCACCTGACTAGCCGCAGCTTCCTTCCCATGTCACTGTTTACATCACACGCTGAGCTACACGTTTTATTACTTGCTCATGCCCCCCATTGCCCAGAAAAAGGCACATTCTGTATAAACAAAAGTAGGTAGGCAGCAATTTTCCACCCTCCCTGATTTTGTTTTTATACTGCCAATGCTGAAAAAAGACTGATTGGGCTTTCCTGGAAATTTGCACAAGTTCCTCTGACTCGCAGGGTTAAAGGTTCCGTTCACAGTGACAGTACACACTGCTGTCCTTGCTGTCTATGCTGTAAAGCTGCCAACAGGACAGCTTGGATATTATCAGCATCACTGGTGTCTGTGCTCATTAAGCCATCAATATCTATCCAAATATTAAATATTACACTGAAATAGGACAAAAACTTAGCAGCTGGTTTTATTATATCATGCACAACAACCAACTCAATGACTGCTGCCTCACTTGTCATGCTGTTGCTAATCAACATTTTTCCCTTTCCTGTTGTTGTATGTAACATACAAAATTATCTACTGGAGGTTGTTATGTTACCACATAAAAGCCATTTTATTATTACTATTCTGATTTCTTTGCTATCCCTCAGTATTTCACATACAGTATTTGTGTTAAAATGGGACTAAATAGCCTGCCTCCAGTGGAGCTTTGAGGAGTGAGACAGCAACACATGAAACCAATGTATTTGGGCAGAACAATTAGTGTTTGGATTGTACTGAGTGTATTGGTTGACAGTGGAGGAGTGGATTATGCTACAGTAGTGGTTTGCTTTAAGAATTTTCTTTGGGTGTTTTGATACTTTTTCCCCACTGTGTAAACTTGTCACCACTGGGATCCATTGTAGCTGACTGAATTCAAGCTGAGCACAGCTGCTGTTCTCTGTGAAGAAGCACAATACAAACTTCTTAAAGCTAGCTTTCAAGTCTACAGGGGGCGAAAGCTTCATACTCCAAACATAGACTTTGGGTGGGGAATCACTTAAAGCCTCAGTGTGTAAAAATGGTGAGTAACAGTGACATCAGCGGTCAAATTCTAGATTGCAGGGCTCACTCGCGCTCACTCGCTCACCCCTCCCGTCGGGTAAGTGACGGTGGCCTCGTAGGACAGAAAGCCTTGCGCAGACAGAGATGGCATCATCCACGAGTTCTTCAAGTTTTTCAGGAGTAGGCCTATCTAGCAATGAGGTGAATATTTATTTAGGAATCTAAACCATGTTACGATATTGTAGTGACCCTGCAGTAAATGTTCTGTTTTAATGTCAATGTTCTGTGAGTTAATGGCATATTTGGGATTGAATGAGTATAGGCAGGGGGGCGAGGTGCGAGTGTGACGGGGATGAGAGCTGTGTGAGTGCGCGTGCTGGTGTGTGTTTGAGCGAGCTGGAGGAGAGAGCAGGAGTGCACAGTTGGAGTTACAGCTAAGTTCTTGTTTGTTGGTTGTTTTGGTGTAGTTACGGCCAACAGTAACCTGTACTGTTCAGTAATAAACGGTGGTTTGCCGAATAACTGCTTCATCTTTTCCACACGTCCTGGTGGATTCTACATTATTTTATAGCTTACCAGTGATATATAGGTTATCTGTGAGATACAACGTTATGTTAGGAGTGTTTTATCTCTAATTGTTTTGGTAACACGAGCAAACATTAGCACAGTAATGCTAAAATAACACGTTTTATGTGATAGTCATGGCACAGTGCGGCAAATATAGGTTGGTATTATTATAATATATGCTTTTCCAGAGTGTTCTTCCACAGGAGTTTTTTCCACCTGGAATAAGCAACGCCGATATTCACTCGCGTTTTGTCCCGTCCTCGCTTATCTGATCTTTTTCTTTTATTTGGTGGCGTGGTTTCCCTCTTACGGAGCAAAACATGTGTATGGTCCTCCATTTAAAGTGCGACAGAATCATAAAAGTACAAAGCAGGTTCACGCAGAAGCGCCCCGGATTGAGCTTCACCTTCTCTGTCTTCAGTGATGGCAAGTTCTAGATAAACCCATCTCAAGGCAATTGAATCGAACGCAACTGGTATGGTTTGTCTTAGAAGACGTTTCACCTCTTATCCAAGGGGCTTCATCAGTTCATGCTTGTGTGACTAGGCTGGAACTAGTCTCACAAACTGGTGTGGAAGCACCCAGGTATTTAACCTCTGGGGAGGTCTTCACAAGGTCAATGATGTCACTGGTTCGTTAGTGCTCCAATGGTGTGTCAACGACAGTCGAAACTCCTGCTGCAACGCTGCAATTGGAGTCGTTAGAGTCACATGAGGCCATTTGTGAACGACTATTGTTTTTAGAGGTTAAAGGACAGCATTATAGGTGGGGAATAGGTGGTGTCGCAGACCTCCTCCTCTATTGAGAGATGGCTTTTCCAATTTCACATAGATGGCTTCTTTTTTCTGCGACACCACCTATCCCCCACCTATAATGCTGTCCTTTCATCCTTGCCCAGGAGGTTAAATACCTGGGTACTTCCATACCAGTTTGTCAGACTAGTTCCAGCCTTGCCACGTAAATTACACATTGTAACTTTAAAAAGCCAACCAAAACTGACAGAAGAGCTCAGTGGAATCTCAATGGGTTTCAGGGTGTTGGATGGATTCAAATTCAGAGCCCATGAGTTTAGTGTGGATTATAAGCTTCAGTGATGAGTTAAAAAACATTTTTCAGTTTCAGTACCAATGACTAAACAATATGAAATTTTGATATCTCAGTTTAGGAAATTCAAACATGTTTTGATCTCTTTCTCATTAACATAACATGCTAACCTACTTAAGACATCCTTGTTACCTAAGGGATGTTAGCTAAATGAGGCCTAAGTTAAAAAATATTTATTTGGGGGCGTCAGTGGCTTAGTGGTAGAGCAGGCGCCCCATGTACAAGGCTGTTGCAGCAGCGGCCCGGGTTCAACTCCAGCCTGTGGCCCTTTGCTGCATGTCACTCCCTCTCTCTCTCCCCCTTTCACACTTGTCTGTCCTATTATTTAAAGGCTAAAAATGCTCCAAAAAATATCTTTAAAATAAAAAAATATATATATACAGTACAGGCCAAAAGTTTGGACACACCTTCTCATTCAATGCGTTTTCTTTATTGTCATGACTATTTACATTGTAGATTCTCACTGAAGGCATCAAAACTATGAATGAACACATGTGGAGTTATGTACTTAACAAAAAAAGGTGAAATAACTGAAAACATGTTTTATATTCTAGTTTCTTCAAAATAGCCACCCTTTGCTCTGATTACTGCTTTGCACACTCTTGGCATTCTCTCGATGAGCTTCAAGAGGTAGTCACCTGAAATGGTTTCCACTTCACAGGTGTGCCTTATCAGGGTTAATTAGTGGAATTTCTTGCTTTATCAATGGGGTTGGGACCATCAGTTGTGTTGTGCAGAAGTCAGGTTAATACACAGCCGACAGCCCTATTGGACAACTGTTAAAATTCATATTATGGCAAGAACCAATCAGCTAACTAAAGAAAAACGAGTGGCCATCATTACTTTAAGAAATGAAGGTCAGTCAGTCCGGAAAATTGCAAAAACTTTAAATGTGTCCCCAAGTGGAGTCGCAAAAACCATCAAGCGCTACAACGAAACTGGCACACATGAGGACTGACCCAGGAAAGGAAGACCAAGAGTCACCTCTGCTTCTGAGGATAAGTTCATCCGAGTCACCAGCCTCAGAAATCGCAAGTTAACAGCAGCTCAGATCAGAGACCAGATGAATGCCACACAGAGTTCTAGCAGCAGACCCATCTCTAGAACAACTATTAAGAGGAGACTGCGCGAATCAGGCCTTCATGGTCAAATAGCTGCTAGGAAACCACTGCTAAGGAGAGGCAACAAGCAGAAGAGATTTGTTTGGGCCAAGAAACACAAGGAATGGACATTAGACCAGTGGAAATCTGTGCTTTGGTCTGATGAGTCCAAATTTGAGATCTTTGGTTCCAACCGCCGTGTCTTTGTGAGACGCAGAAAAGGTGAACGGATGGATTCCACATGCCTGGTTCCCACTGTGAAGCATGGAGGAGGAGGTGTGATGGTGTGGGGGTGTTTTGCTGGTGACACTGTTGGGGATTTATTCAAAATTGAAGGCACACTGAACCAGCATGGCTACCACAGCATCCTGCAGCGACATGCCATCCCATCCGGTTTGCGTTTAGTTGGACGATCATTTATTTTTCAACAGGACAATGACCCCAAACACACCTCCAGGCTGTGTAAGGGCTATTTGACCAAGAAGGAGAGTGATGGAGTGCTGCGGTAGATGACCTGGCCTCCACAGTCACCGGACCTGAACCCAATCGAGATGGTTTGGGGTGAGCTGGACCGCAGAGTGAAGGCAAAGGGGCCAACAAGTGCTAAACACCTCTGGGAACTCCTTCAAGACTGTTGGAAAACCATTTCAGGTGACTACCTCTTGAAGCTCATCGAGAGAATGCCAAGAGTGTGCAAAGCAGTAATCAGAGCAAAGGGTGGCTATTTTG